TCCCCCCCAGTCACCCACAGCTCCCCCCCAGCTCCCACCCGACAGCTAGGGGCACAGGAACACCAGGACCGCTCAGCCGCCTGGGGGTTCACACAACATCAGGCGACGAGAACCTCTCAAGTCGGCCGGACTCCCCGCAGGGCCCCCTGTTCCTTGGGAGCCGCTGGTCACCAGGGGTCAGAGGCTGAGCTGACCCTCCCTCCCCCCAAGGATTCCAGGACAATGGGGCCTCGTGATTAGATGAGACACCAGCCAAGGGAATAAACGCGTCACAGCAGCCAGCTGCTTTCCAACTGAGGAGAGGATGAGAGCATGCGCCCCACGGTCAGGCAGCGCGGGGGTCACCAGTGCACCAGAGTCTTCCCGATCCAAGAGCGTCCGATTCCAGAAAAACATTCTGAATGCGGCCGGAGGCCAGCAACTAACAGGAACACTCCCCCAGGGCGAGGCTCTGCGGCTCAGGCTCCATCCCAGCCCGGAGGGTCCCTCTGCCCAGGGGGCGGGAGGGCAGGGCCTGGGCCCAGTGTGTGTGGTGCAGTGTATTTGTGTGCATGCATGTGGCGCAGTGTGCACTGTGTGTGCATGTATGCAGTATGCGTGTGCGTGTAGTGTACTGTGTGTGCATGCATACAGTGTATGCGTGTGGTATACTGTGCGTGCGTGCGTGTGTATGAGCAGGTCTGCCTATAGGCAGGACACTGACCCTCCCAGGACCTGCCCCCACACAGGACGTGTGGAAGGACTGACCGTCTGATGAAGCCCAAGGACGAGCAATGAGCTGCCGTCCACGTCAGACAGAAAGAATTTATGACCGAGCTGGGAGTGGAATGCGGTCCCCGCCTGAGACGCGCTTTTTCCACTGGCACACACAACGGGGGAGGCTCGGGAAGGAGGACACGAGGGCTGCCTACCCGCTTCTCCACCTCCAGCAGCGAGGACCTGTCGGGCGTCTTCTCCTGTTTCTGCTGAAGAAGGGGGCGGGGGGGAGCGTGTCACAGAGCCGTCCCAGGCCGTCTGGCCAGCCCCACCGTGGAGGTGGAGGGGGAGGTGACAGCAGGCTCCGGGCGCCCGGTATGCCCTGCCGTCTGTCTGCACCTGCTCCTCCAGCTCACCAGCCCTCAAGTCCTCCCTAGAGTCCCCAAGGGAGCACGGGCCTCTCCTCTGAGAGCGGGCCCTCCCGAGCGGGGCCTGGGCCACCCCACTGCACTCTGTTTTCCCCGGAGCGGCGGCCTCCCCGGCCGGGGGCCTCAGGGTCCGCGGGAGGCTCCTGCTGTCTCCCCCGTTGGACCAGACCCGGCCCCCTTCTTTCACACATGGAGCTCCCAGATAAGCTGATTTTATTTGAATGAAAGATGAGAACTTCACTCTAGGTCACAGTGAGGGCAGAGCCGGCAGGGCAGGTCATGGCTGCCCCACGGAAGGGGGGTGGGGGGTATGGAGAGCGGCCTGGCACCAGGAGCTGCCCAAAGCTCCTCTCTCGGCAGGCCCTGGACCCAGACACCCCGTGGCTCTGCCTGCAGAGGTTCCTTTTTTCAAAAAACTAAGGAACAGCCAGAAGTAACAGCACAGCTGAGAACGTGCTCCTGTCCTGTGGGCTCTCCCCTGTCCTGAAGGTCATGTCCCTTGTTTTTTTAAAAAATATATATTGTTGCCGAAACCGGTTTGGCTCAGTGGATAGAGCGTCGGCCTGCGGTATTGGCTTCAGAGAGGAAGGGAGAGGGAGAGAGAGATAGAAACATCAATGATGAGAGAGAATCATTGATCTGCTGCCTCCTGCATGCCCCCTACTGGGGATTGACTCTGCAACCAGGCATATGACCTGTTCGGGAATCGAACCATGACCTCTGGTTCATCGGTCTACGCTCAACCACTGAGTCACGCCAGCTGGGCATGTCCCGTCCTGAAGGTCATGCTGTCCCCTGCAGAAGCCGTCCCATCCTGTCAGCCTGCATCCTGGCTGAGAAGCAAGGTCTGTGAGGACTGCACTTACTAGTCGTTCACGTCCACAAAGAACTGGGTTTTTGTTGTTTAGATCTTAGCGCCCTTAGAGCTCAGTGGGCCTTCTATGCACCGACGCCAGGTATCCCTGGGCAACCGTCTCCATGAGGATGGGAGGCTCTGCCCGCTCCTGCCAAACACTCCACTTTTGGCCAACCAGCAGCGACTTGCTTTGCAGCAGCACCACTTCTCCTGAACTTCAATAGTGCATATTTGGCAAAACTAAGGACATTACGACACACCCAGCAAGCAGTGGCTGGAAAGGCAGGTTTTATTCCAGCGCCCTGCGCCCGCTGGTCAGCAACGGCTGAGACTGCGGACCCTGAAGGTCGGCCTGGGGCAGGAGGGCGGGCAGGGGAAGTCCATCCTCCTGCGAGGTGCTGGGTGAGGTCTGGATTGACTGACACAGCTCATTGGCTGTTGAGATAAAGGCAGCTTCGGACAGCCGGGTCTGCTGAGCGTGGATGGGCGGGGAGGGCGGACGGGCGGGGACTGGGCGGCCGGGGTTGAG